CTTGGGCCAGGGTTGCGTCTTGGTTGGATAGAAGCACCAGAAAGAGTTCAAAAAGTGTTGAAAACTAGTGCTTATGCTATGAGTGGAGGATGCTTTAATCAGTACATGGCATGCGTTGTTTCTGTCGCAATACAAGAGGGTTTGTTGAAAGAGCACTTGTTCACGGTGCGCAAAGTCTATTCTCGCCAGCTTGATGCATTGTGCAAAGCCCTTGACAAGTACCTGCCTGGACAGTTTTCTTATCAGAAACCAAATGGGGGTTATTTTGTGTGGGTAACCTTCCCCCAAGAAATTGATTGTGACAAACTGTTTGATGTTTGTAAGAACGAGTATCTTATCGAGTTCAACTATGGATCACGCTTTTGTGCCACCCCAGGAAAATTTAAAAATTGCATAAGACTGAGTTTTTCTTATAATGAACCTGATGACATTGAACATTGTGTGAAGCTAATAGGAAAGGCCATGAAACAGAGTTTTGGTTGTTAGATTTCTGCTGACATAAGATGTCTAGCATGACTGTGGCTAATGAGGAAATGACACATTTTTTGTGCAATCAATGTATAACTTTGGAAAAGATTGATAGCCTGGGAACTAGAGAGAAATGCATTTGCAAATCCTTGTGGGATCTTTTCAGAGGGGAAGGGTAGGAGACTTAACAAGTTTTATGTTTCTTTAAGTCCTTGGGTTTGTCTTCCCGGCAATTAGGCAGCAATAATACCTGCAGTCGGAGCCTGAACTTGACAACAAAGATCAGCCAGTAACACAGACATTTGTCTATTACACCTAACTTTTTTTGTTATGCAATTTGGAAATTTTAATTATAACATTTTAGTTGTTAATTCACTGACCTTGACTTTTGCAAATTACCCAACCCCGCCCTCCCCCCAGTCACCCACCCTCATTAGTGCTTGCGAGGCCTTTGTGCCCAAGCCTTCACCTTTTCCAATATAATATATTACTTTTATTTTGTGTGATGCAGTTGTCACCTATCAAAAACGGGCAATAATAAATTACTATAGAGTATTTGTCATTTTCAGAAACTCAGCTTTTGGGCTGGAACTCATTACTTGGGCTTTTATATAATTATATATTTTAAATACCGGTATGTAAAATTAAAATTCTCTTGGTGATCCTGAACACAAAGTGACATTCACTGGCTGAGGGATGTTAATATTAATTCCCATTGTCTCAGATCAAACTTTACTCTTTTTCTGTTTATATGTTGTAATTAATAAATAAGTGAATTGCTGGATACAAACAAAGTTGTTGTTCTAAAGTTGTGTGTTGATGGTTGTTTTGGCTTAGGAGTGGGTAAACAGGCAAAGAAAGTCTATATTTCTCTACTAGCTTAGAGTGGACAGCTAAAAGAATAAGACATTTTTTACCTGTCTCAAGTCTTGACTCTTATATAATCCGTTATTAACTTTTGGTGACTTGTTTGGGTCAGCAGTGCAAGGTTTATGGCCATGTGCTCATGACATAGGGAGTGCAAAAATTCAGTGCTGAACATTAATCTTGTTAATGCCAACTGGCCTATTTCCATTTTCAACCAACTCAGACTATGCTCATGTGACTTGTATTGTCATTGTAATTTGTTTTAATACCCACGGAGCAATTAAGAGTTCTCAAGAACTCGTTGAAACGTGTCTGTGCTTTCCAGATTGAATTGGAATTTGGAAGTGCTGGTTTTTAAGGAGAGGGGAAAACTGGAGTACCCAGAGAAAAACCTCTCGGAGTAAGGGAGAGAACCAACAACAAACTCAGTCTACATATGGCATCAACACCAGGATTTGAATCACCACATTGGTGTGGCAGGCGAGTGTTCTCACCACTGCGCCACCCTGGTTCAACTTCAATGATGAAAATGAGATTTTCAGAGCCCCAGGCTTCCTCGGGATAATTCCATCATTCCATTTTTAGCTGCCCCTGGGTTCCTAAGGATTTATGAGCTGCCAGCAGAAGATGAATGAACTACTGATAATCTAGACTTTCTAAAAGTCCTTGAATTTTTTTTCTGGTGACCTCGTTGAAGCTTGTCTTGCTCACTTTGCTCGCTTATGGCAGGTTGACATGTCACAAATAACTACCAATAATCACAACACATGGGAAGTTATGAGAGAGGGTGCTTTTGATTGGGCAAGCTAGATTTATATTTTGATGTCCAGAATTAAAAGTAAAATGTGAAATCGGATTTCAACTGTGAGAAATCTGTCCTTGGATTTTCTTTTTTTACAGTTTTTGGGAAATATGGACAACTGGGGCTTTGACAAACTGATCTATAAAACAGCAGTCTTGCAGACACATGCCTAATAATTAGCAGAAAAAGACCACTTTTTATGGAAACCGGTTTGCAAATCCTTTTTCAGACTTCCCAATAAAACAGCAAAGAAGGAAATCCATGAAATCCATCTTGAGGATAGATTTCTTGGCATTGAAATCCATTTTGGATCTCATGTTCTCTTGATAAATCTGAAAATCCAGCAAACTGGTGGCACACATTAATTTTGGCCTGGCAGTATATGCTTGCTGGCAGTAGATATTTGCTGGGTGAGTTAACGGTTGCCGTATGTATATAAATTTAGCCAAACTCTTTGGTAAAACTCAATAACATTATTTTATTGTAAAAGCCCCAGAGAAATAAAATTCAGTGAGTAACATTCACAATACTTGGAAACAGAAATCTAATGCATAAAAAAATCTACCCTAACCACAGTCTGAATATATTAAAACTCTTCTTTGATGATTTTGTCATGGAACAGCGAGGTGATTGCAAATTTGGACAGTGGTCTATTAAAATAGAAGAAGCTGAAGGGTTCTTATTACTGGTAGAAACTACGAAAGATTCATAAGGAAGGAATTAGTAAATAACTTAACTATCTACACTATAAGTAAAACGGACACTAAACCTACTCTAGGTGCGAAATGGACGCTCTGTTTACATTACAGTCCTCTATAGCAACGGACTAATGCCGCATTATTATCTTCCCTTGTCTGTGTCGGAGAAATCTTTGTCGGATTCTAAGTCTTCCTCGTACGGTTCCCCCATCCCAGAATGGTCCATCAAATCTGTGAGACCTTTTTCTATTTCGTCAAGTTTCTTGCCCGTGTCTGTCATTCTTTTGACGATCGAGTCTTCAACGCTTTGGAACTTCTCTTGCATATTCTGAAGTGTCGTTTGCACGAACTGCATAAGTTCGGGAACGTTTGTCGGGTGTTCCATATTGCATTCTGTGTAATGAAGGAGACCAGATTTAAATTTTGCACTAGATTTTGAAATCATAAGGAGAAATAGAACTTACCAAGGCTTGGAGTTACTGTATAACTTTTAATCTTCTTTGTACTTGATGAACAAGCCGTCCACTACGCGTGCTTTCACAGTTTCAAAGCCAAGATGGCTGTAGTTTGCAGTTGATGTAATAAAGCGTCCCCTCTTCAAGTTCAAGTGGTGGAGAAAAACTAGCCAATAAGAAGCGAGAATGTTGTAAACACTGATTAGTTTCCACCAATCAGATTTCGTAAATTTAACAAAAAAGGAGGAGAGAAAAAATCTGAAAAGAAGGATGACTGATTTTATTCAGCATTGTTGGAAAAAATATAATGAAACTAAAAGGCAATAGAAAGAGAGTAAAAGAGCCGGGCGAATTGATCAAAGGCATTTCTTCAAAAGGATGTTGCTAAATGTCTGTAATACCTAATACAGACTTAGGTGATGTCTTGTTCTGTTGTCTTGTTTCATTTCCTATATTCTATTATATTTCTCTTCGTGCATAAAAAATGAAATAAAAATCAATTTTCATTGTCAATTCTACTTTTTGCATTTTCTGTTCATTCTCGCTTCGCGCGCGCGCACAACAATCCTTTCTCCTACCCGCTAAGGTTTCTTGAATCGAGGCTGCTTGCTGAACTTGGCGTCTCTTGTTGCCACGCAACAGAACGAGGAGCTAAATATTGCGCCCGCCATTTTGGAACTTCATTCATGAAGTTGAGCACCCGAAGAATAGTGCGACACATCCACAGCTGTTTTGGTCGATCCTTATAATGTTATGGCATCTTTATATTCAGATAGATCAGACCATTTTCCCAAAATTCCAAAGCAAAGACTAGTAGAAGCCAAGCCGGGCTCTCAATTAACTTATCTTGAAGATTCTGGAGTGGACGTTCGAGAACTTTGGAGGGACCATGGCAATGAGAGGCAACTTTACAGAAATTCTCCGCCGATGATTGTAGGGCAAAGAAAATCTGGCAGTCAAAGTAGTTCACGTACAAGCTCACCTGTCCAAAGGCGAAATGAGGTATAAAATTAGTCAAATCTTTTGACAATGACACTTCGTTTGCAGCGCTTGAAGACAGTGCAATCGAATTCTGGTATTAGAATTGCTCAAATGATACTTCTAATATATAAGCTCAAGTCATTCAAAACCAGAAACGGTTTGATTATTTTTCGTATTTTATAATATAACTGCTGGTTCTGAGGGAAAAAAGTTTTAAAAAAACTACCGAATAAACATGACAGATCTCATCTTCCATGGCTGTTTATTAGTCAAAACAAATTTAGAACTTCAATTTATTACAATATTTAGAAAATAAGCTTAAACGTAACGCTTTGACTGAGGGTAAATCTGTTGCTAAAATATTTAGTACATTTCTTTCCATCTAAGCAAGACTTTTTACAAGCGAACGAAACACAAGCTTTAGAGCATGTCTAATTTTTCTACTATGATATTTTAAGTACAAAAAAATCAAATATTAATGCAATTCACAGCGCCCTTGATACGCTAGTATAGATAGCCAATAAAGAAAAAACTGGAAAACATTTTTAAAACTGGCATTCTTTCCTGTTCTAAACCCATCTTTTTATAAACAGTGAAGAACCTTGCTATCCTCTTGAACTACAATATAATGTAATTAATTATTTAAACCTGAACAGAGAAGGTTCTATAGCAACCAAATAATGCAAATATTGTAAAGAGTTGTTGTTTATATAATTTCTAAAAGTTGTTTTCTTTAGTTTAACCATCAAGTGTGCTTTTTACCTCAGTCTGATGAATTTGACGTGTAAGGCTAATTAACAAAATTGTAGGATAACTCCCAGTTTTTGTGAAACTATGTATATTTTATCTATGATTATGTTGAATACAAAAGACACACATTCATTTTGCTTTTAAAAGTTACAGACAAGTGAACACTTTCTACATGTGACATACCCTTCCACCCGGGGGGGTACTCCGGATTTCAAGTGACAGGGATCATTGTATGGGAGCATGAATCAAAACCCAAAAAATCCCATGCCAAATTTCCAAGCCTTAAAAATGTCCAGAAAACATTAAATGATATGACATGTTTATTTTATTTGGTTGTACTTCACCCTCAGAACTATGCAGCCAGGATACGCTGGCACTACCACAAATCTTCAGATTGTTTTAAGAACCAAAAAAATCCCTACTTAAATCAAGCCACCCCAAAAAAGTACTTGCCCAATTTTCCTA